TCTCTCTTTGCTCTGGTTTTTAGTCACTTAGGAGGTGGGCACTTACAACTATGGGAGACAATATGTCAGACTCAGACACACTAGACCATGATTCAGAGCGGGAGTACGTATTGATGTCTTGATCACTATTTGCAACAACCACTGACCAAGACCAAGAGAGACAGAGAGCTTTGACACTGAACCTCATCTGAATCTGTACAGACATGGTCGGCGCTATTCTTTGACGCGTTTGGAGCAGCACCCGTGGCCGATTGACGAGGTGAGCCCCTTGCCTGCATTGGAATGCGGCAGCTAATGAGTCGAAGACAGAGAAAGACAGACTAGGTATGGGGTCTACCTGAGACTTTATAGCTTTCTTGACTAATGACTGGAGTAGAGGAACAACACGTTTTGCTGCGTGAGCTTTTCGAGGACAGATTATACCACGCCCCTATAGAGAGTCCGCGAAACGTTCTTGATATCCGCACCGGCACTGGCTGCTGGGCTGTGGAATGTGGTACGTCCAAGCCGTACCTCCCAATGTTCTCCATTCAATTACTAAAATATCATACAGCAGAAAGATATCCTTCGTCGGCTGTAAGTCTGGATATGGTTTGCGTTGAAGAAGAGAAACTGACCAGTTAGGTTCGCGGCATTGATTTAGTAAATATGCAAGTTGAATGGTATGTCTTGCTTGCGAGGCTTGGCGCATCCTACTAATGATATAGGGTACCTCCGAACTGCGAGTTTTGGGTCGACAATCTCTGCCAACCAGGCTGGCATACCCAATACAAAAATATTGACTTTGTTCATATCAATCAACTCCAGGGTGATCGCCAGCTTTTGTCGCTCCTGCTGGAAGGTTCAAATAGGTAATTTCTATTATAAGGGATTTTCAACCGCCAAATTAACACATGATATTAGTTGCTGCGCTCCAGGTGGATGGGTGGAGATATGTGATATGACAGTGCAACTATTTAATCCTGGTGAAGATAGCCCTTTTCACAAATACATCCAGGAGATGACGACAGCACACGCCAGAGATGGTCGCCAGATGGATCTCCCCCTTCACTTCGGAGCGGAACTCACTCGGCATGGATTTACCAACGTCACTGAACGTAGTTATGACCTACCTTTATGCACTGAGGGCCGTGACAAACTGAAGAAAAGAATCATACAAAACTGGACGGCAGGGCTAGAAGGTTACAGCTTCACACTACTGGAGAAGCATCTTGGGAAGAACTTTACGGAAACTGTGCTAATGTGCGCTTCTGCGCGTCGCGCGCTAAAAGGCAAGATTGAGGGATATTTGCAAATGTCGGTGAGCTTCCTCCGCATTTGCTGACATGTATCTAACACTTCGCAGACGGGTTGTGTACGGACAGAAACCGGGTTAGCTGAGTTAAATGACCAATAATACAATGGGATCCCTGCATTCATGGAAGATTGACTATGTAGTCCATTATATCCTAGCCGCGACACTCGCGCTTATTTATAGAATGTACGATTGCAACCGGTTCAAGGAAGCTTGCTCATCCCGCGTCGGGCATCTGCTATCTCAGGAACTATATAGCTTCTAAGTATTCTCGGCATATCTCCCGTGATGTGTCACAGTAAAGTTCCATCACCAGCGCATGTGACACAACAAACCCTCACAAACGCATACGGATGACTCTCTTCAACCGGACTTCTTATCCGAAAAACATAATTTTCTGGCTACTTAGCTAGTAGTTGACTTTTCATCCATGTAGTGATTTGGGGCTCATGGCGGCGATATATTGTGAGATCAGCACCACAGATAACCTTATGACTTTGTAATGCAAAAATCCCTAGTCTTATCTTAAGGAAAATTACGAGTGGTATCCCCTTCAACAATCTTATGCCCAAGGAGATCCCTATCTAATCTTTCGGCGTCCAAAACGTCGGCTGTGCAGTCAGGATCCGAGAGAGTAGGAGAGAGCTCGACCTGGCCTGTGTCTGCAGTTACTATTACTATCTGTTCTTCGGAAGAACTTTTCTTGGTAATATTCAAGCGACGTCATCAACATCCGAAAGAAGATTTTAATTTTGAAATCTTGATTATCACTCCCAACGGAAACACTATCAACTTGTGATTGCCATGTTATAGGGTTGAATAATCTCGAAATGCCTCCATCAGCGCGCTTATTTTACCTCACCGGAGCAGCAAACCCTTGGAAAATTGCAATAAACCGGGATAGAATAGAGCAAAGAAAGTAAAGTTAATAAAAGCGCTAAAGTGGGTATCTTTCAAGGACATGGATATAAAGATCGAGGTTCCGGAGAATAGAAGGTAGAGTGATAGTGCTATTCCCAGCAGTGGATCGACTCCGTCCCGACCACGGATGCGCTCCGCTCTCTACATTAACCAATGAACATACTAAGTCGTACTATATCTACAACATTGTCATCGACATCCACATATACACCTCAATCAATCAATATCCTTCACAAGGTTTTTCCCAATAACTCCATCATGACTCTATCCACACTCCATCTCACCACAACCACCATAATAACACCCCCAACCTGGACCACCCTCCCCAAAACCCTCCGCCAAACACCCCCAATCGATCAACCAAAAGCGCGGCAAACCACTCGACTCTTTTCTCGAACACCCCGTCTACATTCAATCCCTAAATCTCCTCTTCCTAAATGACATTCCCTACGGGCAGATCTTCACCCTTAACCCCACCACTACGCAATGGTACAGTCTGGCGTGATGTCCGCACAGGGCATCGGCTCGCTGCCGCATTCAACGGAGCTACTCCGTAGACTTCGGCTATGATGCTTTGCTTTGCCGAATGCCATCATCGTCATCCTTATAAATCCCACTCCAGAGTAGCGTCAATGCGAGAAAACACTTATTCGATTTACTTTCAAAGAATATTGTAATAAGTCATGACCGGAAATATGGAGGCAACAGAGCCTGAAAACCAGGATTACAACCTCCAGCAACCGATCACCACCACTACAGGTTTGCGACAAGGACTGACATCATATGGAGATGCCCATTTCTCTCTCTTTTTGCGCAAAGTGTTCATCAAGGCACTAGGATACTCAGAGGATGCGCTGTCACGGCCTATTGTTGGCATAATTAACACCGGGTCTGGCTTCAACCCCTGCCAAGGCAACACTCCGCAGTTGATCGAAGCCGCCAAGCGAGGCATCCATCTTAACGGTGGTATTGCCATCGACTTCCCGACCATTAGTCTACACGAGGGATTTTCGCATCCGACTAGTATGTTCCTTCGCAATTTGATGAGCATGGATACGGAGGAAATGATCCGTGCTCAGCCGGTCGATGCTTGTATCATGATTGGAGGTATTTCATCTATTCCCTATGAGTCGGATGATGCTAAAAACTGCAGGTTGTGATAAGACGGTCCCAGCCCAGATTATGGGAGGAATTTCGGCAAACAAGCCCGTTTTGCCGTTGTTGACTGGACCAATGATGCCTGGAAGTCACAGAGGGAAGCGAATTGGAGCCTGTACCGATTGCAGAAACAATTGGGCTTCGTTTCGCGCGGGGGCTATAGACGTCGAAGAGATCACCTCCATTAATGAGGAACTCGCGCCAACGGTTCGATTCAACCTGCCTTCTCCACATAGATCACGGCTAATTGTTCATAGATCGGAACGTGTGGTGTCATGGGAACAGCAAGCACAATGGCGTGTATCACCGCCGCATTAGGACTGACCCCTTTGCAGGGCGCTTCAGCACCCGCTGTATCGGCTGCAAGATTGCGTATAGCGGAACAGACAGGTGCCAATGCAGTCGCCGCTGCAAAAGAGAAGAGAACGCCGCAACAGATTCTGTCAGCCGACTCATTCTACAATGCCGCTGTTGTTCTCCAAGCCATTGGTGGCTCGACAAATGCCATGGTTCACCTGATGGCCATTATTAACCGACACCCTGATCTCATCGGCACAATTAACCTCAAGACACTTGATGAAATCGGCCGAACCACCCCCCTCCTAGTGGACTTGAAGCCCAGCGGAGACAATTATATGACCGACTTCCATAACGCCGGAGGAATGCTATGTCTTCTGCATCGCTTGCGACCTTTACTTCGTGAAGCCGCGATGACTATTACAGGCGAGACACTAGGAGACATACTAAACCGAACGCCGTTCCGGGACTTCGAGTACTCGCGTAAAATCATCCGAACACTCTCCGACCCGCTCTGCCCGTCTTCTTCATTGGTAGTTGTAGCGGGCAATATAGCCCCTAATGGGGCCGTTATCAAGGCATCCGCTTCCAAAGATAAACGACTCCTGCGGCATAGAGGTCCTGCAGTGGTGTTTGAGAACCCCCAATTTGCTAAGAGACTGGATGATCCTGAGCTTGAGGTGACTGCTGATTCTGTACTCGTTCTGCGGGGAATCGGACTGATTGGGAATCCGGGAATGCCTGAGGCGGGTATGATTCCCATTCCGCGTAAATTGGCAGCTCAGGGAGTGTCGGATATGTTGAGAATATCGGATGGGAGAATGTCTGGCACGGCTGGGGGGACGATTATCTTGCACATTTCCCCCGAGTCTGCAGTACCGGAGTCGCCGTTCGGTGTTATTAAAACGGGCGACATGATTGTCTGTGATGTGGAGGCCAGATTGCTGCAGCTGGATATTAGTGAGGAGGAACTTCAGGAAAGAATCAAACAGCGAAAGCAAGCACTCACGGAATCGGAGGAGTCGACGTGGAGGAAGAGACAGCATACAAGGGGATATAGGGGGCTCTATGAGCGAGAGGTCAACCAAGCGCATCTGGGAGCCGATTTTGGGTTCCTGACTGCAAATGGGTCAGCCAGTGAGTAGTTGGAATACGAACCGACAAATTCCGACTCAGGTAGCTATGTATATTGTAACGCATTGAATGAAGAGGGATTCACATGTGAAGCAACGATCCAATCTCCCACATTCCTGTGTCATAAGACCTTAAACCTAAGTCAGCTCAGTCAATCCACCCTTCAATATATCCGGTTTCACATGTAGAAACAAGATCAAACAGCCACGCATGCAACAGACGTCAAAAGCTCATCCATACCGTCCTCAAACCTAGACCGTTTCCTAATAAGCAACCGCGTAGCAGGATCAGGATACATATCCGAGTCAATAGTGAAGTTCCTAGGCCTACCGCACCCATCAGGGAACCTCATATCGTAGCATATGAGCATATGCGCCAGCATCATCCTCATTTCATTAGCAGCATAGAATCGGCCAGGACATGCAAACTTCCCGTAGCCAAATGCCAGATCGTTATAGTCGGTCATGACGAAGAGGTGCCGTTGGGCATTCCCAGGTTGCTCGCGCAGCCGTGAGTAGCGGAAGGCGTCGAAGGAAGCTGGCGCATCGCCTGGCATCTAGAGGGATCGTTCAACATGGTGTTGGATGGGACCGCGATGCGGGAGCCGACTGGGACGGAGATTCCGTTGGAGACGGCCAACTGGGTTTGTACTTTTGAGACAGAATCCCGCTGGCCTTGATAGGTACCGGCAGTCCATAGCTGCATCTAATTGGGAGATAGTATTGCCATTAACGGTACTTCCAGCTGAAACCCTGTTTTTGGGTGGCATTTGGAGTATGAAATGGAGCATTACCCTCTGCTATCCTGCATCTTGAGTCTGGTACCTTTGCTAGAGCGTGCACTCGATGTAACCTCGTTGGCTATCATATCTGCGGTAATCTTCTTTCATTGGATGGAGACGACGATCGATCGTTCTCCATCAGACTGAGTCTTGCTATGCTGCCGACAGGGTTCATAGCCTCGTGATGACCGCAAAAGCTGTAATTAAAAAGTCAAGACGCTATTGACCCTGGAGACAACCATCGACGACCGATACCAAGTCGTATATAAAGATGTACCATGTCACGGCACTGAACAGTTCATGTCTCACTCCAACTGAATTAAATATCTTTTCTTATCATCTAAGAGACATACATACTACAACTAAACCATGGGCAACGTCATCGCTAAACCAGCTCGCAAGATTGAGGTTTCCTTTTATCTGTCATGGGTCAACATATGGCCTTCTATGCCAGATTCCAACCCCGACGAAGACACCACCAACTTGACTGTGCCTGAGCAGGCCGAAGTATTCCTCCGAGAATCTTCGTCTCCTCTTCCAAGCTACAGCTTGCTTAGACGGGTGGCTTCGTCCTTTCGCCGATCCCTCACCAACGGTCAGATACCCCTTGGTGGCGTTGATGCTCCCAGCTGCAGCGAGACCAACCTCGCGTCAGGAGACTACAATCCAAACTCAGATTGTACTTGCAATGGCCTCTACCCTGTCCCACACGACGCAGGCATAGACAGTATCATGGAACAAGCCAATTGCACTGCCATCCACAATACCCACCAGGCGCTTCAAACCGTTCTCAAGCGAAAGTCCGAATGGAATACGACATCCCTCTTCTCGCCGAGAAACCTTATCGAAGCTGTAACCGAGCTTCTCTTGGCCAACGCCGATGTGCGAGATCCTCCAACCACATGCCAGGGTCCAGCAGAGGTGACCAACCTGCACAAGATACGAGCCCCAGATCGTCGGCCAAGTCCCCAAAATGACACTGTTGATGTCATCCACCGGCAACTCTACCCCGCAGCGGAAGACGTCAAATTCTGCACCGATGCCAAGTACTACTTCGTTCTCGGCGCCATCCACAGTGATCCCGCCCATGACGGACTGATCCGCGCCATTGCCGACGCAGGTAATGATATCCTGATTGCCGATTACTGCGAGGTGGCGGACGCCGCAACCCTAAAGTTACTACAGCAGAGTGGCGCAGCGGCAGTAGCATTCCCCAAGCTATGCGTGCTCTTGGGAATCTTCTCCGAATGGTCATTTGAAAATATGATGGCCTCGGTGCTGCACTTCCGCGTTCTGGGATACTACCGCGACCATGCACGGAGCCGCTTACCGTCCGGTGTCTACGGCAGTCGCATGACCAGCCTAACAGCACACAGATACGTTGACCTGGGAATATTCTTTGCTGTGGCGTCTACCTCTGTGTGGACAAAGGAGCAAGTCAACGAGGCAGAGTTCACGCTGTTGAATATCGTATGTACGTTTATAAACGACATGGTGGATCTGCGTAGCGATACTGCGCGGAAGCAGCGGGAGAATATTGTTTTACGCGGAGTACGAGGGGATCTCTGCGAATACTTGGACCAAATGATGTTTGAGTGTATTGAGACAGCTACGCTTGCCGTTCAGACGAATCCGACGTGCGCGTATGTCTTGATGGCGTTTTGTAATTGGGCTGTGATGAGCTCGCATCATAAGGTGTATGAGATAAGTACGCAGGTCTCTGAGGTTGGGAAGCAGGATGAATGTCTATCACGGTCAAGGGACCATCAGCGGGCGTACTGGGGGCTGCTGGAGGTGTTGGCTCCGTATGGGACTTTGGGGAAAGAGGGCCCTAGGGTAGGACAGACGCGAGCGGAGTTGGATTTCCGATATGGGGTATGTCGGTCTTCGTCTACTTTGCATGCGGCGTGGTTGGCGGATATCACGAGAAGTCTTTTGGAGCCGCGGACTTTGAGGAGGATTGTGGATGTAGTGCATTTTGAGTGGACGGGGTGTGAGGGTGAGGTGGAATATTGCCCATGATAAAGTATATTGCAGTTCGTAAGTTTGTTTTCTACTTGAGTTCCACTTTAATTGTTTCACTCTGCCCTCTCTCTATCTCTCTCATTGTTACCTTGATATATTACAATCTACTGGGAATACGCTGGATTACCATAGCTTGAGGCCCATGATAGCGATCGACCATGCGGCGCAGTAATCAATCTTGAGAGATACAATTGTCTGGACATAAAAGCTACTCAGCTCTGGGTTTTGGATTGGATTTGAAACGGGATAAAAGGGACAGAGCAGAAATGGAATGTCATTAATATTTGTGAGCAAGAAAAAGCAAGAAGAAATCGAACGAGGGAGGGAGAGAGAGAGAGGGGGGGGGGAATGTAGGATTGTAACTACGGCGTAATTAGCAACCAAGAACTATGAACATGTGATGGATCTCGTGGAATTCGACAAGACCAGTTAGCTAATCATTAGCTTGTCGAACTGATTTAACTAGCAGACGATAATAACCCGGCGTCGGAGAGATGTCCGGTATGGTGGAGCAATTGGATCAGGTCCGTGCATTTCGCGACCGAACGAACATGGGATGACTGGCAGCACTGCAGCAGAGCTGTTGTGACTTGTGAAGGTATGGAAGTTTATGCAGAGGCTGCTAGACTACTTAGATAGGTCTGGACCGAGGGCTAATATCCGACATGCTCGCTTACCCCGAGGGAACGTCAGCCAACCAATTTTTGCATCCCGTCAATTTGGCTTTAACACCAAGCTTCAGGTCTATGCCTGATAAGGGAAAGATATCATGTCAGGCGTCCCATGTGGCGGCCGCAGGGAAATAAATTGAAATCGTGGTGCCGTCCGGCTGGACGCTGGACGTGTCGAATTTTCCACGGGGAAACACATAACTAGTGGGAAAATCAGGCATTCCACTTCTCATCAGTCATCCCAGATATGAATGGCAACAAACAACAAATCAAAGGGATAATCAGCCCCTCTCCACTGAAGTTTGGGGGGAGCCAACTTGGGGGCCAAAAGAGCTGACTGGTTCATGGCTGATCCATCCAGCATTCCGATTGCGTTGGTGCCCCCACCCCCTTCCCGGCCATCGGATTTGATTTCCAAATCCCATCATCTCTTGTTATAACAATGGTATAGAGGTGGGTTGTTATGATAGACAGACCGTCAAAACAAAGCAATAGTAGACCTGGGTTCCTGTTCTTCGACAGAATCCAGTCGGGGAACTTTAATCCCCCTGAAAGCCTCCAAAGTTGCGCTTTCTGACCACCTGGAAATCTGACAACAGCATCCTTCAGCTCTTCTCAGCATCTCTTGGGGCCGATTCCCATCGGATGAACATCACTCATGCCTTATTAGGCATGGCTGAGCTGCATGTCAGCGGAGTCCCAACACCCAAATCCAATCCTTGAACCCGCTCCAGGCCTGCCAGGCCATCACCATCGCCCGCCTTGCAGCAATGTGCCCCGGTCGCATTCTTTCGTTTCATAATCTCACCCTCGGCCAGCAGTCATCCTTCGTCTCGCAGCTTCTCCCTTTCTTTTTCTCTTCTTTTGCTTCCCTCCCCATTGCAGGCTGTTTAATGCCTGCTGCAGTATCCATGATATGATGCGACCGCTACTTCTCCCCCTATTGGGGGTATTTCTGCAGACCTCTTCTGCATCCAATCCCTATGTAATGAGCTGGTCCTCGCAGGCCTACGGTCCAGATGGCCCGTGGCAGGCCGTATCCGTCGACGTGGGCAGCAACAAGCAAACGGTCGATCTTTACCCCGGTGCCAATTATGCTAGCACGATCCTGATGAGCACTCTCTGCACCAACAAAACTCTGTCATCCACCTGCTACGCCGCTGAAGCAGGCACCTTCAACCAAAACACCTCCACCACCGCCTACACCACTCCCAGCTCCTGGGAAACAACATACTGGGCCGTGGAGGGCGGAAGCAAAGAATCTGTGCTCGGTGATGAAGTCACCTTAGGGTCGTTTGTCGTTCCCAATGTGAGCTTCGAAGCCATTTACCAGACCTATCAAACTTATCCCAATGGCATTGCCTATCCCGTCTCGGTTGGCAGTCTGGCCCTGGGGGGTCCGTACCTCTCGGATACTGTCTCCAACTCCACCGTTCTGAACATGATTGCCGGGTGGCTTTATTCGTCCAACGACATCCCTTCCTACTCGTATGGAATGCATATCGGGTCAGTAGACCCAGAGATTGCGGGTTCTCTGGTCTTGGGTGGCTACGATAAGAGCCGTGTGATCGGAGACGTGAGTGCCCAAGGAGTAGCGTCTTCGAGTGGACTTTTGGAACTCGAGTTGAAGGATATTGGGCTTGGGGTTGCTGCGGGTTCCTCTCCCTTCAGCTTCACCAACGAAAGTGGATTGTTTCTTCAGAGCAGTGGCTCCGTCCAGGCCAAGACGGTTCAGATCGATCCGACCAAGCCCTACATGTACCTTCCCCAGGCGACTTGCGATGCCATCACCTCCACCATGCCGATCTCCTTCAACTCAAGCTTGGGACTATATTTTTGGGATACCACCAGCAGCGATTATTGGAATATCACGTCTTCTGCAGCATACCTCTCCTTCGTCTTCAACAAGAACGGAGTGAACAATCAGAATATTACCATCAAGATTCCCTTTTCCCAGCTCAATCTTACGCTCCAAGAACCGCTGGTTGATCAAAACGTCACCTATTTCCCGTGCTTTCTCACTACGTCGACCCCGGTGCTCGGTCGAGCGTTTCTTCAGTCCGCATTCGTCGGAGTTAACTGGTTCAACGGGAACAACTCTGGCACGTGGTTCCTGGCACAAGCACCCGGCCCGGACTATGCCAGTGCAGACATCACCCGGATCGCAGTGAGTGACACGTCGCTTTCTGCCTCTAACAGTACCTGGGAGGATAGCTGGGCTAAGTACTGGGGCATCAAAACGACCGACCATTCGAGTAGCTCCAAGGGTGGTCTGTCTTCCGGGGCCAAGATTGGAATTGGCGTTGGTGTGGGAGTCGGTGGGGCAGTGTTGATCGCAGCGGGTATAGCGATCGCATTTTGTCTTCGCCGTCGCCGCGGAGCGAGTCAAGAGGCAGCTGGAGAGCAGCGGAGATCAATGTTTAGAGGGTTTGCGGAATTGCCGGGAGGTGCTCACAGTGAAGCGGCCAAGGAGTTGGATACAAAGATGCATAAGCCGCCGCAGGAGATAATGGGTTCGCAGGTGGTAGAGCGATACGAGTTGGGCTAATTCTGATCTTGTTACGTCAAGAGATATTTGTAGTATACTACGTGATACCATATATGTGCGAATATAATACCTATTTCCTTGTGTCATCATGTAGCTTGCATACGTTGTGGGTTAATCAATGGCTTTGCTCGGATAGAATCATTTGCTGCAACTTGTAGTAGCAGTCCGGATACATAGCCATTCAACAGGACTCATTTTTTCAAAACAGCTGTAGGCTGACCCAATGTATTACTCATGAACATCTGTTGTACTGATGAATTGGCGGAATTTGATCCTCGGAGATTGTGATTAGCAAACTACGTTGGATCTAGACCCGATCGGGCGCGAGCTTGGCATCAACTCTATCAAGATGGCCCCACTCCAAAAGACTGCCTCTTTGGGGTATGACACCAGATGCATCCATGATTTGATGGAGATGTAACATTGCCAGCACTATATTACAAATCCAACACGTAGTACCAAGGCTCATCTATATAAGATCGATCAACAGTCCCATCGCCCATCATCCTATTCACCTTCCACCCATCTCAAAACCCTCATCATATACTCAGCAGCCACTATACCCTCACACCAAAATGTGCCGCGACAACATCTCCCTCAATGGCTGGACCAGCACTCCCGCCAACGCCAGCCTCATCTTCCCCGACAAGCCCTTCATTCACCCACCCACCCCCGTCCCCATCACCGACATCCCCTTCCCTTCCACCGATCCTCTCGTCGCCAAGACCCTCGAATCCGTCCAATCCCTCCTCCCCCACGACACCATCAACCACTCTATGCGCGTATACTACTACGGTACCCCTCCCCGTATCCCAACCCCATACACGCCCCCTCACTAATAATCCTTCAAGGAATGATCCTCCTAAGACAACAATTCCCCACCAACCCCCTCTCCCCCACAACCTGGGCCCTAACCTGCCTCCTGCACGACATCGGCACCGCCCCTACCCTCCTCACCGCAACGAACATGTCCTTCGACCTCTATGGCGGCATTTTCGCCCGCTCTATCTTAACCTCCTTCGACTGTCCCAGTGACGTTGCCGATGCCGTAGCAGAAGCTATCATCCGGCATCAGGATCTCGGGGTCGATGGGAATATCACGTTCTTGGGACAGTTGATACAGTTGGCTACGATTTATGATAATGTGGGGGAGCATCCGCAAGTTAAGGACTTTGGAGAGTTGATTCATGAGGATACGAGGAGAGAGATAAATGAGCGCTGGAGTAGGGATGGGTGGTGTGGGGTGTTTGCTGATGTGCTGAGCGTGGAGATGCGGGAGAAGCCGTGGTGTCATTCAACGCATATTGTCGGGTTTGAAGGGAAGGTTAGGGGGAATAAGCTTTTTGGGGAGTAGAAGGGAAGTATTAGTTTAGGGGTATGAGGGTGGTTGATTCCACGGCATATTGCGTTCAGTTATGTGGTGATTGTGATATGGAATACGATTAGGATATTATCAATTGATATATTGGTTTTTTCCAAGCTTTGCTCTACTTGCGGACAAAGAGTGTTCACACAAAGATTATGTTAGAATGTTGTAAACAAGGAAGTTGTAGCCCATTCATCCTTCTTTGTGTACCGTGCTGTGGAATCTATGTTGGCTCTATCCTCTTTTATCCATTGTTTGGGTCGGAGTAGCCCAGGTTGGAATTAGGTTGTCTTTTTATCCGTGTATTGTCACGGAAATCGAGAACCTCTCAGGTTGTGGAGAATGTTCTGCACCTGCCGTGGTGCAACCCTTTTCTCGTAGGATTATTGGGACCCGCCATGATTAGCTCACGACTGCCATATAATTGAAAGAATGTCAATGGATATCATGAGAAACAAAGCAGAGAGAATACTTTGGTGGCCGAGACCACCGTACTACTATTATATAGTGACTCTGTCTTCCCACTGTTTTGTCCTCCATTCATTCCACTCACAATAAGTAATAGCCAGCCTTCCTAATACTCACTGACTCTAACAACGAGCGTCAAAAACTACGTCGAAACTCAAAATGGCACAGGGCTCAGGTAGACCGCTTGAAGAGCTGCCCGTCGAGCTCCTTCAAGCGATCCTCGCTGCCGCGCCAGACATCAAAACCCTGGAGGCCGCCGTCATGACCGGACCATGCCCTTAAGGTCTTACCGAGATTCTTTCCTTTTCAAACAGCATCTGTCAAAATAATGGTATTGTTTATCTCCTGCATGACAAATATCATAACTGATTGAAAGCAGACAATCTTTTTCGGTTGCAACGATGCGTGTCTCCCTGGAAACTACCAGCACATTCCCCTGGACATTTACCGCGAGAATTTGAGAGAAATTGTTCAACACCCTGTTTTAAAGGCCCAAAAACCCAGAATCCTTATCCTCACCCCACCTCCGGTCAACGAGTACCAACTGGAGGCCTTTGACGCTTCCGAAGGCGTACCTCACCCTAGCAGAACCGCAAACCAGACGAGAAAATATGCGGGTGCTGCCGGCGATGTTGCGTTGTCGTTGGGGGTTCCTATTGCCGATCTCTGGACGGCGTTCATGGAAGCTGTCGAATGGAGAGAAGGAGAGCCTCTTATAGGCTCCAGAGAAGTTCCTAATCACGAGGCGTTCCAGCAATATTTCACTGATGGTACATGATTCCCTCTAACTTCACTCCCAGGTCCATATCCAACCGATACTAACGCGCAATAGGACTTCATTTGACTGCGAAGGGATATCGACTTGTCTATCGGGTTGTGAGGGATACTATTGAACGGAACTGGCCAGATCTTCAGCCTGAGAATCTTCCTATGGTTTTTCCAGACTGGCGTGTAGCCCCTATGAATAATGTATGACTCGTTAGTCAAGTTAGACAGGACAGCAAGGGGTAGTGGACAATTAGAGCAATGATCTCCTAATATCCCCTAAAACCATTTTTGGTCTAGACTTATTCTGGAGCTTTCTCAAGTATTCCATCCCGTGATAAAGGATGCGTAAGTGAAGATGGATACTACCCCCTCACTGTTGGAATACAGAAAGAGAAAGATTATCTTCTTTGTCTCATCTGATGTGCACGAGCCTATTCTCCCCATATCCCAGTCGCGCTATTATGAAAGCAGCTAAAAAAGCTACTAAGGAGGGAAAGGTAAGGATTTCCGACAGCGTTACCTGGATATGGCAAGTCCCAGCCGTGTTGCCTGGATATGGCAATATATTAGGCTCCCAATCCTGCCCTGGAAGCTCCTTGGCTCGCTAGTCTAAAAGAGGCTAACAGTATCGACCCCGGACTTCCATATAATAGAAGCCAGTACTGTTTATCCACAAAATCTCGCTTTGAATCCCCTGGTGTACAACATTTCCATGGATACTTTGTCTTAAGTTACATGACCCTAACACCAACACAACAAGAGATGAAGTTGTTTAAGAAAACCGAAGAGCATGAGTTGCCCAACAGCGAGCATACCGAAGTGGCAGCAAAAGATCCAGCTACAGAGGTAGACGATATCGAGAAAACCGATGCCGGCGCCTTTGTCTGGCTAGTTGCATCGACTGCTTCCATTGGAGGCATGTTATTCGGCTATGACACTGGCATCATTTCAGCTGTCCTCGTGTATTTGCACGACGACCTAGGTCATTTTCTATCCCCCAGCGAAAAGGAAATGGTTACATCCCTGTGTTCAGCTGGCTCGTTTGTCGGCGCCATCATCGCCGGCCTGACGGCCGACAAATACGGTCGAAAAGGGGCCATGTATATCGCATGTGTTCTCTTTACTGTTGGTGCCATTCTCCAAGCTTCTGCATACTCTATCCCTCAAATGGCGGTGGGTCGTTTTATTGTGGGCTTTGGTGTCGGGTCTGCAGCTATGGTTGTCCCTGCGTATATTGCCGAGATTGCACCCACCAAGTATCGTGGTCGGATGACTGGCCTCAACAATGTCAGCATCACTGGTGGCCAGGTTATAAGCTATGCTCTAGGGGCTGCGTTTGCACCGGTTTCCTCCGGATGGCGATATATGGTCGGCCTGGGTGCAGTCCCCAGCTTATTGTTCGGGGCTCTTCTGCCGTTCTGTCCAGAATCCCCCCGTCAACTGGTCTGTCATGGCAAACATGAGCAAGCCGCGGGGGTGCTACAGCGAATCTTTCACAATGCTTCTCCCGAGCAAGTCTCCGCTAAAATCCGGTTAATCGATGAGACGGTGCAGGAGTCTCGGCTTTTGGACCAGAGTCATCGCCGGCGGGCTATAGTGAAGCAACTGCATACGAATGCGGCATATTTCAGGGCTCTAGTGTGTGCATGTGGCTTGAGTATGTATCCTCTTCTTGACATTATGTGGTTCCGGGTGTTCTAATCTCAAATAAAAGTGGTTATCGGACAGATGTCTGGGTTCAACGTGCTGATGTACTACTCCGGCACCCTATTTTCACTGGTCGGCTTCTCTAACCCCGTGGCTGTGAGCCTGGTCGTCTCCGTCACGAACTTCGTCATGACATGTGTCAATATGGCCGTAGTGGACCCTTTTGGCCGTCGTCGACTGTTGGTATCTACCGTCTGGGGGATGGGTGTGGGCCTCCTGGCGGTCGCTGTCGCTTTCCTATATCTCCCTGTTGACCTGGAAACACTAGAAATGCAGGAGAAAGAGGTGACCACACCAGCAATAGTGGTTCTTGTGTTCATCATCTGGTTTGTAATTTTCTACGGGGTGTCAATTGGGAATACCGCCTGGATGAGCACCGACTTCTTTCCGTTGGAAGCGCGCGCAATTGGGTCCATGTATATGACCTGTTGCTGCTGGGGGTCCAACCTGATTGTCTCCTCCACCTTTCTTTCCATGATGAAAGGCATCACTCCCTCGGGGGCTTTCGGGTTTTATGCGGCTATTTGTCTTACCGGCTGGGTGTTGATCATACTTTTCTATCCGGAAATGTCTGGTCTTACTCTTGAGGAGGCGCAGGAGGTTTTCCGCCACGGATTTGGAGTCAAGTACGCCTCTGCATTGCGAAAGGCCAGGCGTAATGGTAGCGGTTAGTTCATTAGAAGGTATCAGCTTTGTCCCATACACGATTTTTAAAATCAGAATTCACCGTGTAGGATTCGCATGCAACACCCCAATCCAGTTGGTAGGATTGCATAGCGGAATAAATTACCCCACAGGGAACTGAGTCGATATGCGGGGGCTTTGCGGGGAAGCCCACTCGGCAAACCCAGTAAGGAAACTGTCGGCGACAGATGCGATGCTTCGGGGGATTTCTGGGATTTGTGCTTCTAAGAGAAACTGCCTCTTCAGGCCGACTTGCCCTACACAGTCCTCGCATTGTTCCCTGTTCTGTCCCTGCGCGAGAGCCCACTGAGCAACAGTACACGCAGAAATGACACTGCGAGCAAAGCCCAAGCTGCCTCCATGGTAAGCATACTCCAAGACAGGGAATGATTCGTTCGTCAAACTTACTGCTTGAATCCACAGCAAAAGTTGTCGACGTAAGTGAATGCGTCTTCTCGTGGCCCCAAAACTGCGAAAGATCCTATACTAATCGGAAAGCCCTTTTAGGACAGCATAAACAATGTATGTAAAGTGACCATTTCATTTGGGATAATTGACATGTTCTATATTGCCTTGTGTCTGATAAGGCCTATAATACTAACGTGTAGGCAATTCTTCGATAGGTGACCGTAACCAGCCAAGCTGTCTTCGTTGTCAGAGAACCGGACAAGTCTGTATAAGGAACAGATACAGAGTCCGGTTCTGCTACAACTCTCAAGAGAAATACTCTCTGGACTTTCCGATAGACCAGAAATGGCTTTCAGCTACACAAGCCGGTATGATTCATGGCTCCTTTCCGACTCTCATCCTAAATGCATAGTGTGAATGTCACTGAATGATGTACTTATCTGTATCTATAAACAGGGGCCCCTGAATTTATAGACGAATCAGAAGATATCTCGAGACATTATGTTCAGGAGACCCATCAGAGAAACCCACTATCAGTCTCTTCGGAGAGAACACTCGTGGACACCAGAGTAGATTTGCAATCACTCCTTGGTCCTCCCAGTCCCGGTGTAGCAAATATCACCGAAGACGAATTGACATTCTCCTACCATCAATCTCACTGTACTATATCTCCCTCGAGTGATAGGTATTTGATTCTCTGTTGAAACTAAAATAGTCTTATATTTGTTTCTATACATCTGTGTGCGCTGACTGTTTCTTGATGTTCCAGTGAAGAGAACCGACACTTGCACTTAACACCAAACCCTCCCCAATCTCAATTCGACCCACTTGAAGCCTGTCTGATGCATTATTTTGTTAATCAATTGGCTCCCTGGGTAATCTCCTGGTCTCTGTGCTTCCCTTCTTTGGTGCTGACACACATACAGCTCGACCTCTACGACACTGAGAGCTACTTCGCAACGATTGTTCCACAGCGGGCGCGGACATGCCCTCCTCTCCTAAATGCAATTTTCACTACCTCTGCCAAACACCTGAGTCGTGTGAAAATGTATCATGCTCGTGGACAATCCAAATACGACGGAAGGGTAATCGCCAACTTGACATCTGAGACAGCCATCCACTACCATAACCATTGTATTGAGCACTTGATTTCGTTGCCGGAGAGCCTACCAGAGATAGAGAAAGAAAATCTACTTGCTGCGGCAATTATTCTTCGTTTCTACGAGGAGGTGGACGGTAAGTATAAGGCTGTATTTGTTGAACAGGCCCGGCCTTCTTCTGTCAATGACTGAATGTCTCTTATTTACTCGTCATACAGCTCCATCCATATCAGAGGACATGGAAAGTGCAGTCAGTGGCATCCAGGTTTTTCTCAATATTCACACCATGTCAACTTCTCCAGATAGTGGGAACCTCCATGCCGCATATTGGGTAATACTACGTCAGGAGGCACTTACTGCCTTTGCAAAACAACGCCCCTTTCGGATTCCGCTGGGTCCGTGTTTGTCTTATCGGTCTTTTGAGCCCGCAGATGACTTTGTATGGACGAACAGGCTTGTGATTCACCTTGCCGATGTGCTGCAGTTCTGCTTTGGGGTGGATGAGAAGCTCTCAACTGCGGCCCAGCAAAGACTATCCCCTCAGAAAACCACATCGGAATCAAGCACTGCCAACACGGATATGTCACTTTCTGAGCGTCTTGCTCGCTATGACAAGCTAGTCGCTTTTGGTACATACTGGGAAGAGCACAAGCCTCCTTCGTTCGTGCCGATCTACGCTCGAGACCCAGACTGTTTACGCGGAGAGGTCTTTCCAGAAATTTGGTTCCTTGGAAGCTGCCATGCGATTGGAATCCAACATTTGGAACTTGCGAGGATCCTACTCACTGTCTATAACCCGAAAGTTGTGCGCTTGGGATTAAACCGGCAAGCAACATTGCTTTCGATTGATCACGAAGTCAAAACGATAGTATTGAGACTCTGTGGCATAGCTACCACACATCGAAGTGTGGTTCCTGCACTTCTTACAGCATGTATAGCAATTGCCATGTGTGGGGATCGCTTCACAGACCACTCACAGCAAGAGGCTCTTTTGAGTATTTTAGTCGAGCTCGAAGAAGAGCATGCATGGCCGACAAAGGCTACACAGATACAGCTGAAAGATGCCTGGGGATGGAAGGATGGGTGAGGATAGACTCAGTTTTGTAGTAACGTGCCAGAGGGTGTTCCAGATAGATATCGTATTCAAATCGCTCCATGGGCCTCTGTTTATACATGCGTGGGAGCAGAATTACCAGATACGGTCATCTATCACGTGTGGCTGTTGAGAAATTCATCATGTGGGCGGCCATCGTTCACTTTCTCTCCTCTCATATAGAGTATACCAATCCCATCTCCCCATCATGATTCACTCATTCATCTAAACCCACTCCTGTTACTTATATACAACATCCACATGTCTACCTTTGTCGTCATCGTTCAAGGTCCGTGTTCCCCTTTGTCTCATTTAAACCGCAGTCTAACCCGACAATAATAATGCCCAGGGCGCCAACACCCAACTTTCATTTACTTGGTTAGCTAAGAGAAGGTATATGGTCAGGTAAAAAAAAAAAAGTAAAAAAAAGAAAAACATACAACAGAAGGGATTCGCTGGTGGTCACCCACCCAACTACTAACCTCCCGGCGTGTGGCTTAAGTACGGCTGAGCGGACGGGAAGCCCTGTTTTCCACACCCTGTGGTCGTATGTATCAGATCTTTTGCTGACTAGGATCATATAGTGTGTTTTTTTCTCGCTTAATTGCGAAAAGGGAATGGTTGCATTCCAACCCTCTTCTCTCAACAACGCCCTGAACCTATGAGATGTTGTGGCACGTGATTGTTCATATCTACGGAGACAATGACGTCAGCCACGATAGGGTTCTGGTTCATCAATGACTGTTAGATCGATAGTTCTATAATGTGTTTGTGTATAGTTTGTATGTATAGTGGGCTCGATTCGAGTACTACCATAGTATATGGTTACTTATAGCAGTATGTGCAAGGGACTAAATTATCGCACCACTAGCAGTTGGTTCAAGAGACTTGGAATCAGCCAGTGGGTACTATAGTAGTGAGATGCCGTGAATATATACAGCGGATGCAGCAAGATCATGATCAGGATCATGCAAATGATGAATTGACAGCACGACGGAGTTCGGTGCTAGGCGGTATAGAGTACTCCGTATAAGCTCTTTTTGTTTTAATAGAGATGGTAGCAATACAGAGAGGATTTGTTGTGTCAATGTCTTCAGCATAGTAAATATACTTTACGAACACCTCCACATCATATATTGAACATGATATAGATGGAACATATATAAAAAAAATCACATTCCAATCTGGTATCTACTAATCTGTCTGTATATACGCATATATACTGGTATCTATTTTTACTCCTCGCTAGGCTTAACATCATACTCCACATCCGTCCGAATAATATACTTCGCTCCCTTCCTCACTCCCGTGCCCTCATGCAATAATGCCCCGTTCGCCTCTCCGTGTGGGAAAATGGCAACGGCTCCCATGACAGGGCGCACGGGGTATGCATTTAGCGTCCCTTCCCTCGCGGCCGGCATGAAGAAAGTAGTCTCACCGCCCTCGAACTCATCATTGAGATAGAGGAGGAAGGTATACATGGAGCTCTGCTTCTTATCCTCCGGCGAGGCATCGTACACATATGTATCATCGGGAAGGATACCCGACGGCGGCCAAGCGCCGTCAATGTGACACCGGTACTCGGCACCAGGGACGTATCGGTATACCCGGAAACGACGGTTGATACCGCGAACGAGACGACCGTTGATAGATTGCGGGACATACTTGGATATACGTGCCCAAAGCATGTCGTGAAAGGTGGTGTCGATCACCCAGTAGAAGTTGTGGGCGAGGATGCTCATGTCGCCGTCTTCGCGCATGGGGACGTCGGGCAGGAAGTTCACGGATTCGCCGGCGGCGATAATGGCTTTGCATTCTGACGGGGTGAGAACGTTCAAGGCCAGTCCGAGGCCTGGGACTGCGGGGTGGGGATGGTATGTGATCGATGGGCTAACGGGGTCCAGCGGGACGGCGTTGGGAAGGGTAGTATAGAGAATAGCGGGGTGATGGTTCGGAGGTTTGCGGAGGCGGCCAGGCGTCGTTTCGATAATACGAATGGCAGCGGGGTCTTTCGGAGCTTCATTCAAGATCGATTTATCGAGGACGGAGGCATATACTTGGAGGGGTGTAGTATTGGGACGGAGGTCCCAGATAGACTGGAAGGCGATAGGATCCGTAGAGTCGACTGCATTCGATCTGAGGTCGATGGGAGTGCTGACACGTAGGATGGCATCCAAAACGCCGAGGAGTTCCAGGTCCTGAGGGGTGCGCTCAAGGGAGGCCTTCTCGCGGGCTTCGGGTTGGGTGGAGAGGCCGCTGACGACGTCGAGATCTCGTACCCAGCGACACAAGGCTCCGATTTTGGGTTGTTCACCCCGGATTCTCATCTCGGCAAGCAGGATCTTTGCTTCCAGGTATCGCTTGTCGGCCAGGGCGCCGGTGATTCGTGCGGTCAGGTTCGCGCCCTCTACCGAACGATTAATTGCCACTATTGATTAGAGACAGTGTAACAGCAGCATACTGGCATTGTTAACGCCCGTCGTACAGGCTTGACGGAACTCGTAGACCGCCACCCGGAGATCCTTGCATGCTTTCGACTTGGTCAGACTGGGGTACTGAGTCAAGGTCGTGAGCGTCTCAACGGTGATTTCGAGGTCCTCGTCGGGGACGACTGTGCTGAGGTTTTTCGGCTCTCGACTGGCGCCATCGGGAGGGGGAGTGAGGACCGTGGATGCAGCCTTGGGGACCTTTTGCGGGAGATCGGCTTGGGCGTTGCGCTTGCGCTTGGCAGCTTTTGACTTGGCCATCGTTATCGGTGATGGTGATGGCCAGCTGGGGGAACAATGGCTGCTGATAACTGACGGATAACCGGTGGGGATGCGGATTTCCCACAACTTATTTTTGCGGCAAGTCGAGAACCCGATTATTAAGCCTGGCCGACCCGCCGTGGATTCTGGCAGTGGCAGTGGCACTACTGAGGAATGACATGCAGGAAGTGGACAATCCAGCAAGAATTACAGTTATATCCAAGGGGTCTGAAGATGGCCAGAAGGGATAGGCTACTGTGAAAGAACAAGGGGCAGCATCGCTCTACAATCACGAGTGCAATGGTTTCAAAACTGGGGTTGATTCACAATGCCGGGAAGTGCTGACTGGCGAAAAGGTCCGGACGACACCTTCTATCCCAATATCTATACCTGAGATAGAAAAAGCACCGTGCTCTGCCGCTCCGTCCGGAGATATAAGGTAGTCCCCAGTAACGGTCGCAGCAGCCAGTCCACCGGATAGAACACGCAAAGTCTCTGGGGGGTGCCGAATTGAAGTAGGTAGAGGAAATTGAATTTTTCGTTTTTCATTCATCAGAATACATCATGTTTTATAGATATATCCCGACTGTAGGCAAGATCCCATATTGTTCGCGTCTTCCGGAACTCCCGCGTTATCACTGCCATTTGCCAGATATGAACTAAACCTCACAAAAATCCCCCGATTTAAGCGGACTTGGCCTTGACGGCCTCACGACCCTTGCCAACACGCTCAAGGATGGCCTCACGGTCCTTGTCGAGGTGGAGCTTCTTGATGACGACCTTGGAGGGGTGGAGGGGAATGGGGACGCTCTGGCCGTTGCTCTTGTCGCGGCTGATGCGCTCGACGTGGATGGCCCACTTCAGGCGGTAGACGCTGGTGACCTTGCCCTCACGGCCCTTGTTGCTGCCACGGACGACCATGACCTTGTTCTCAGTTTAGCGAGTGGATTAGATGTCGGGTTAGAATCAGCCTTGGCTCACCTCGTCGTCCTTGCGGATGGGCATGGAGCGGACCTATCAAACGACTTGCGTTAGAACCAATTTCTCCCAGCGTTGTTTCGTCATGCCTGATGTCTCGGATTGGATGCTTGTCGATTGGATCTGGTTTTTGTATCTTCCTGCCAAATCCCCAACTCGCTGGCCTGATCCAGCCTGTCCCCGACCGGAAAGAAAGAGAAAACCATGCCAAATCCATCTCCGCACACAAACACACCAAATCCCAGGGGCTGCAGAAAACAAAGAATCACATCGGTCTGATCGAACGTACATTGTACTTGGCGCGGAGCTCGCTCGAGAGAGGAGCAGAGAGGATAACGCGGCGCTCGCTGGAGGGGGCGTTGAAGTGGGCGGCGCGCGACTTGCGGCGAGAAGAGGCGAGACCTGAAATCATCACGAAGTTCAAATTAGTATGGATTGGATTGGCGAGATCGAGAAAAATCGACAGAACAGGACGACGCACTGGAGTTCCTGACAGCCATTGTGAATATGCCACCTAAAGGTCGTGGGAGAACTCGGACGGGTGTCGTGAGGGTCGTCGGAAAGGTCGTCAGGAAGAGTCTTACTGCTTTGCTGGATCTGTTTCGTTTGTGGCCGAAAATTCGGGCTGTGCGTCACATGACCCCCCGCTTCGCCTAGCGGCCAGGTCCGGCGTTATGATTGGCTAGCGTGGGTTTCCGCCCGCAGCCATTCTCGATGCTGACTGGAGCCCGGCTCGATTGCTCCTTAATTCAGAGGGTACAGTACTACTAGGAGTATTGATTATTGTAAATGGTAGGAGGAGATAATTGATGGAACGGCTAAGAATAGTTACCGTGTATACTGCACTCTGCATAAATCATGATATCTAGTAAAGTATCATCTTTTTAATTAATTATATGACCTTCGAAACATTTCTAAAAAATTGTTATATGCTTTTGTCTCCATTTCTCTACACTTATGCAGGGGCATTTAAAGGTGCTCCCCGCAGGAGAAACTGGCTATACTCCCTACCCGATTAGGACAGGTAATAGGGCTGCCCCGGAGTTGATATACCACCCTGGTATGTTCTTCCCCAGAGAACACATGATTTGATGGTGAAGATTATCCAATTTATTTCACTTCGAAATATGTAGTAATTTTGCTTATTCTCAAGCTAAAGCTTCATTCATGGTTGATCTCCTGATCCCGAGGTTCCTGACCGTGGAACTATATATAATGGGTCCTACTTACTAGTATACTAACTGACTCTAATCACCCACTTCTGATTAT